GATTCCGGGGATTCCAGTGGAATTTCAGTGCATCAACATCAAAATAAAATGATTGAAAACAGAGAATAAGATATATACCCTTCTTCATTCAAATTCTATAGAAGTTGACTTCATGTATCCCTTGATAGATGAGATATGGAAATGAGATTTCGTTAAATATCTATCTATATCAAGTGAATATGGTATTCACTACTAGAAACTGAACATGAAAATGGTAGATTCAAGATTAATTAATTAATGAAAACTTCCTGTAACTCATTTGTGGACTAAAAACGTCCAAAGATGAGTAAAAATTCGATAGTTTTTCAATATATCTATATTTCTTTCCTTCAAACAGTTTTTCAAACAAATTGTCACTGACAAGCTACTGGATTTTTCTTTTAGGCTCCCTGATAGAAAAATGTCTTAAACGCAGTGACATTTTTGGACAAATCATCTGATTTGTCCCAGTACAAATATATTTATATAATATTGAAATAATACTTTTTTTTTCATTTTATAGAAACGAGGAGAAATAATCCCAATCCTCGATTAACCTACAAACAGTATTTCACGCTTTCATTGTTAGTCAAATTAAACAGAAGTAGGAATGATAAAATGAAAATGTGTTGTTGAATATTCGACTGAAAAAATATTTTCTAGAAATAATATATGTACGAACATAGTAAAACAACGTTTGCCGGGTTATAATCAATAAAATGGCTCGAAATAAATTCAATATTTGTGCACCGTCTTTCCTTCAAATTTATTTTAGTAAGTAGCGTATAGTAAGTAACGTGCGCACTGCGCAGCTAGTATTTCATAATCCTTCGAAGGTACTGCTCTAAAATTCGTAGGACAATTTACTATCGTTAATATGCATAAAAAACATGTCTAATCAATATACAGGGAGATAGGTATTTCGCATTCTCTCTGATTTTTTTTTATGTTCTGGGTCCCACGAAAAGGGAAATCCTGTAATGTTCAGATAACATCGTGAGAACCAAGGGAAATAAGGTAGGAATTGGGGTTCTTCTTGAATTTCTGCAGATTATATGCCTCGGGGAATATTGATATAAGTTTTTTGGCACTGTCCACATTTTTATATTTCAATAAATGACAAAGTTAGTTACATTTTTTTCTAATTGCAGTTTTATGGGTTTTCCTCGGTTTTCGAGATATCTTCAAATTCGAAGAAAGTTTTTGACGAAAAAGAAAGAATGAAATTTGGAATCGACCAGCTCCCAGATCATATTGCATAAACTAGTATGGAGAAGCACCAAAATGAATTTTCTGAAAATCACTGAAATATCGAAATATGGTCAGTGGCGTAGTCCACAATGGTTACATCAATTTTCATCGAAGATAATGTGAAATATATGTCTCCCTGTATATTGATTGAATTGGTATAACATGCTTTTCATGCACATCCATGATAGTAAATTGCCCCTTCGAATTTTAGAGCAGTACCTTTCATGGATTTTGAAACAGGAAAATCTGTAAGTAAAATTAACCCTCATCGCCATCTTACGGCATTCTCGTATAGAGTTGAGTTGATATCAATCAGTCTATTTCGATTTCTAATTCACCTTGTAGAATTTATGGTACGTTGTTCTGGGACACCTTGTATAATTTATTAATTCAGATAGCACCCTGTATAGGAATAAACCCCTAAATGATGTTGGACATGACAACATTGTTGTGAATATAAGAAAGTTTTGCATTGTTTTTCATGATGAAACATCTATTTTTTTCAATTTCCGCTCCAGATAAAAGTTACCTCCGATGTCCCAGCGGTAAGCGGTGTTTCCGCTCGCGAGGATACAACCCCTTCGCTCCCTTTCACCACCCTCTCGCCCAATCTCGTCCGGGAATAAACTTTTTTTGGCGCATCATCCCATGCATCTTGTGCATGTGTACAGTGTGTCCCACTTACCATGCTCACCATGAGTATCTTTTTAACGGTGAGAGATACGAGGTCGGCTAAATGACACCAAATGTGGAGTTTGTCAAGGCCAACTATAATGTGAAAAAATATTTTGATAAAATCTATTCGTTTTTGTTTTATACGCAAAAAACAGATTCTGATCATTTTCATGTCTCCTCCGTAACTTCTTTATTTATGAAAATATTTGAATAGGAATTTCACATTCTCATGGCAGTTTTCCAAAGTGATTTCGAAAAAAATATGAAATGTATACCAACTCTTCTAGAATTTGAGATATCAGCACCAACTTTAGTTTTTCAAATGTAAGTCATAGCTCACTATGACTTAGTTACAAATACCTTTTTTTCTCTTACAGATGATATGTCGCAGTAATAGTTTTGTGTTGATAATAACGGAGTTATCGTCATTTATACAATAACAAAAAATCATTTGGAAGCCGTCATCTTGAATTTATAAATTTTAACAAAAAAATCATGATCTCCGACCTCAACAACCCACACTTACCAATTTTGAATGGAATCGGACCAAATCTTGTCCGCCATCTTGAAGCAGCCATTTTTTTTAATTTCAACAAAGATTCCATAATGCATTGTCACCGAAATTATAAACACCTGCCAAATTTCAAGTCAATCGGAGTTATGGAATTTTTGTTGAAATTAAAAAAAATGGCTGCTCCAAGATGGCGGACATGATTTGGTCCGATTCCATTCAAAATTGGTTAGTGGGGGTTTTTGAGGTCGGAGATCATAATTTTTTTGTTAAAATTTATAAATTCAAGATGGCTGCTTCCAAATAATTTTTTGTTTTTGTATAAATGACGGTAACTCAGTTGTTATCAACACAAAACTATTACTGCGACATATCATCAGTAAGAGAAAAAAAAGTTATTTGTAACTATGTCATAGTGAGCTATGACCTACATTTGAAAAACTAAAGTTGGTGCTGATATCTCAAATTCTAGAGAGTTGGTATAAATTTTATATTTTTTTCGAAATCACTTTGAAAAACTGCCATGAGAATGTGAAATTCCTATTTGAATATTTTCATAAATAAAGAAGTTATGGAGGAGACATGAAAATGATCAAAATCTGTTTTTTGCCTATAAAACAAAAACGAATAGATTTTATCAAAATATTTTTTCACATGATAGTTGGCCTGGACAAACTCCTCATTTGGTGTCATTTAACCGACCTCGTATCTCTCACCGTTAAAAAGATACCCATGGTGAGCATGGTAAGTGGGACACACTGTATAGTCCGAGATGCCAACAAAGGGCTAATATAAATTGTTGGCAGACTTCGTGAATGGGTGGTACATTATTTGCGAGAACGTCAGGGCACGACGTGGAGGTAATATCCGAAATGGACGCACAAAGGGGCGTCTTTCATTGTCTCGGGGCTCCTAATGTTCTCCAGACATTCCAGAGATATATGAAACAGAGCTATTCTAATTTTGTATAATAATACATGCGTCAACAATAATGGGCGAGTGGACTGATTATGAATTATTGGTATTCAATTACTTCACTTGTGACGTTAGGAACCTAAATTAAATTTTTCAAGACTTCTCTCGCTTTCCTTATGTAAATGAAAAGTCTATGCCTTATTCAAAATCGTTGAATTCCTGAGTTCATTTCAAACGTAACGTCATGGGTGCCATTTGGCGGCGATATGTCGAATAAATGGTGACGTCAGCGCAGTGCTCAGTCAGTATGAAAATGTTAGGTGATATGTCTTTTTGTTCTTCAAAAAATTTCTTCAACAATATTGCATTATCTCAACAAAAAAAATTCCTCAAGATTGTCAAAAACGTTATAATTCCAACACATCGCAAATCAAGTTCAATCTTATGGCTTGCCTCCCCAGCTATGTTCTCTGCTAGCTAGTTTTCTCTCAAACAGGTCTCTCCATGTAGTATGGTCGACGGAGTTTCAGAGATTCTCTTATCATAAATGCTGGTGTTCCGCAAGAATCAATTCTAGCACCAACACTATTTCTACTCCATATCAACTATTTGTTGGAAACAACTTCATGTCCCGTACACAGCTTCGCGGATGATAGTACCCTCCATACCGCCTTCTCTTCCAGGGCTCCAATACCAGCCAGGCAAATCAGAAACGAACGAGAAGAAATGTTGACAACATAAATATGGACTTGGCGACAATTTTCGAATGGGGATCCAATAACTTGGTAGATTTCAATGCAAACAAGACACAAGCATGCCCTTTCTCCAGAAAAGCCGATCTCACTGTGCCTAACATAAGCTTGTCAGGAGTCATTATACCTTCGAAGACATCCATTTCGATGCTTGGTATTACTATCCAGCAATAACCTTACTTGGGAAAATCACGTGAGATCAATTGCTATAAGTGCATCCCAAAAACTTGGTTTCCTGTTTCGGGCCAGGAGCTATTTCACTTCCAGTCAGCTGCTTGTGATCTATAAGGCACAGATCCGACCTGTCCTGGAATAATGTTTCCATATTTGAAGTGCAGCACCCAAACATACCCGGAAACTGTTGGATTCTGTCCAAAAAAGGGCACTTCTTCTCGTGGGTGATGCCTCGCTCACAAACTCACTCACTTCTCTGGAACACCGTAGAAAAGTTGGCGATCTGGCTCTATTTTATAGATATTTTCATGCACGATGCTCTTCTGAAATATCAACAATTGTTCCTCCCTTGGCAGTCCCTGCGAGAATAACCCGTCGAGTTGAGGCTTCGCACCCCTTCTTCCTTGGTCACTTGGGAGACCTGCAGAACATCTCTTTCCAAAGACCCAGAAATTCAAGAACACCAAATCCTACCTTGTTTCCCTTTGTTCTCACGATGTTCTCTGAACATTACAGGATATCCATTTTCGTGGGATATAGAACATAGAAAAAAATATATCGCAATGACCTCTGAATACACTAGCACAACCTCGAGCATAACTGAAGTACTATTTCTGAAAAAAAAAATGATCTGAGTTCCAGCAGCGCCTTATCCATACTGAAATATCTTGTTTTAACGCTATTGATTCTGGCCCATAATTATCGTTTTAACTAATCTTTTTTTTTTTTTTTTTTTTTTTCAGGCAAATTAGCCATGAAGCGAGAAGCTGACGGTGACATGGGTTCCCCGCAAAAACGTTCACGCAGAGGAGATGAAGAAGTTCGTTTGCTTATTCCGAGTAAGGTAAGTCGACAAAATGCATCAGTGTGTTGAACAAAAAATTTTTTCTACAAACGCTTTCAAATTCCAGCACAAAGTTGACGTTTTCCCAGAAATGTCATTCTTTGACAGCATTTGCGCTCGTGAGCGGAAATATTGAAAAAACGCTCGCACATCTCTGTAACTTATACTTATCTATTCTTGAAAACCCCCTATTTCTTTCATGATGGAAAATAGTGACAGTGAATCATCAAACACACCTCCTTCCTGATGATATAGCAGAAAGCGCAAGAGTTTGAATCTCTCACCGGAGAAATCAAGGAAGAAATATGAATTACAATATGATACATTCATCAATTGGTGCCACTCCAAGAAGGTGAATAAGTATTCAGAAAACGTATAACTGGCTTATTTTGGTAAAAAATCAAAGACTTTGAAGTCATCAACTCATTGGTCTATATATTCGATGGAACGTTTACATGCTTGAATGTTAAAGATAATATCGGAATCAATAAGTATCTGAAACTCATCGCATTTCTCAAGAAACAATCTATTGGATATAAAGCGAGAAAAATCCAAAACATTCACCGTTGAAGATATATACCACCGAATTTCTACAAGACGCTCCCGATGAAGCATATCTGTTGAAAACGATGAATTATACTTTATATTTAAACTCTTTGTTGTCATCAGAAAAACAGTGTATCTTTATTTTATTGCATCAATGAGTGATGTTCAGTTTGATTGCAGAGTTAATCGTACTATGGCTCAGGTCTGAAGCTCAGAGGTTGCCACGCTGGTGGTCCAGTTTCAATTCTCGGTAGGCCCGACATTTTTTTTCTGGCTTGCCAGTTATTTCAGTTTTTCTTTCCTTTGGACATATGGGATAATATGGATAAGAACTTTTTCAACTATTTCAATCGCTCATACTTTCAGGGTAGCTATTTCCAAAAGCTGCGTTAGTAGAAAAAATCTTGTGTGTATTTCGAGCACAAAGTGTTATTGCCGCTCTCCAAAGATTACCGCGCTCCGCTCCGCATCGCGCGGTAACTTTCTTTGTCGAGCGGCAATCTATCACGCGCTCTAAATACACAAATAGCTATGAATGCAGCTTCTAGTCAGTGCATTACCGTTGTCCTGAGTTGCACCGGTCGATTGATTTAATAATGATAATGCTAATAATAATGAAGCGCCTTTATTATTCATTCTTCAAAATGTTTACATAATTATTATGTAAAAGTTGTGAAGGAGTGGCGATGTTCAGCGGAGCTGCTCTTCATTTTCCCGTTGGTCGGCCTATAAACTTTTTGTTTACGTTCTACGTTTAGTCACAGATTAACAAACCTTATTTGTTAATCTGTGGTTTAATTTTGATGACAACGGACGATAAGGTATATGACGTTATTTTAAATCCAATATGGCGAACCATCCAAGATGGCGAAATTTTTAATGCGTTTCTACAATATGGGTATCACCTGAAAGGGGTTGTTGAGAATAACTCTGAAAATGATTTGATTTGACCAATCAAGATGGCGGGATATACTTATTATTTATGGACTTCTGCAATATGGGCATCAAATGAAAGGGCTTGTCGAGAATAGTACGAATTCATAATTCCTCTCTTCCACAAGATCTCTTAGAATAGAATAGAATAGAAAAATATTTATTGTAATAATATAATTATTACAAGAGGGGTACGTTCGTATAAACACGTTCTTCCACGCCCCCTTCACCAGGTACATTCAAGTTAAGATAATTACAAAAAACAAAAATCTAATATCAAATACATGAAAACGATCTAAAATTAATGAAAAAACCAAAAACAAAATCAAATAATATATATACACATTAATATCATTCTAAAACTATCACAGATGGTTTGATTCATTGGATTGTCTTGCTAGTAAACTATCCCTGAATAATGTTTTGAAAGAAACAAATTACCTACCTTGCAACATATCAAAAAATTATCGATATTATTCATAAAACTGACTGATAGATGAGCAAAGCAATCTTCAAATTTTGATGTTTTGTGTTGGTGAATATCGTATCTCCACATATTTCGAAGTTGTCGATCATGAATTTCATTTCTTGGGATAAGATAATTATGCAAATATTCTGGTTTCTTGTCAGTATAGATTCTAAAAATAAATACAGCAAAAAACATTTGATATCTGTAATTTGTTTTAAGATGTTTATTATCATTGTAAATACCAGTAACATGATCAAACTTTCTTACGTTGTATTCGAATCGCATACAAGAATTCTGAGCCAACTGTAATTTATTTTTAAGTTCAATTGTCAGGAAGCTGTAGTACACTGTCATACAGTAATCAACTTGTGGATAAAGGAGAGTCTCAACTAATTTATACTTGATTTTTTCATTGAGGATGAATTTGAATTTATACAATGACTTCGATTTCATGAACATAATTTGAATTTTCTTATTAATTCATAATTCCTAAAATTAGATTAACCTACCTGCTATTATGATCATGGAAGCTTGTCGCGCGATTTTCGTGTGTAAATAAACTAGTACTAATTCAATTAGGTAAAAACCTGATGCTAAGTCTAAATTTAAAAAATTTTAATTCAATTAAATATTGATCATCGCGACAAGCTTTTATGATCATATAAGTTGATATAGTTGAAATTTAAAAGGAAAATTTCAGCTTCTTATTTTTGAAGGGTTCAAATAAAAGCATTTCTCAAAAAAAAATTTGTTTTACATTTACTTTCATTTCTAAATCTGATGAAACTCCAATTTTCCAAATTTCCGGAATTATCTCGCTGGAGAGTCTCATCCTTTGATCCCTCGAGTAGATTATATAAGTTGGTCTCATTCCCTGAAAATCCCGAAATTATATCGGCGTCAGCAGTTCGGCTAATGTGAAAATCGAATGAGCCGGGAAATGGAAACTTGGTAATTTCGTTAAGTTTGTGGATATTTTTGGGGGTTGCTGTTCGCTAGTACGGTGTGTCTACTAACAAGTTGAATTATTGTCACAGTTATGAATTATGCTGATCAAACGTTGGGAACTGATTGCATTCTGGACGAATTCATGTAATCCAGTTATATGTAGGTAGGAATAATAATTATTTTAACATGTATTTGTATGACATAGATTCTTGCTTATAGTAGGTACTGCTGTCTATTCAAGTTACCACTTTGATTGGATTTTTGTAAGCAGGGACCGTAATGTTCATGTTATCCTAACAATAAACTTCAATTAAAAGTTTCAACAACTATTTGAAGTTGATACTATCATGAATCAAGAGTATTATCATAGTATAATAAAGATTATCTTTGATATGAAGTTCGATATTGATCAATATTCTAATACTCGAACCTATACAAACGCATATCATCAGTATGGATGGATATGTTCAGCTCGAGGTTCAGATTTGTTATGTTTATATAGTCTTCATATTCTTATAGTCTCCTCAACATTCAATATCATCAAATCATAAATGGAAAGGGGACATGTTTCGGATCTATAGAGTATCCATCATCAGCCGATTGAGAACAATTTTTCTACAAAGAACAAAGCAACAATAATAGAGTATCAATGGTGAAACATGATAGTACTCACGTGGAGCAGAAAAAATGTTTGTGGAATCACATGAAGTTACAAACAAATTATTTTATGATGATCTAAAAAACCTAAAATTCGTTTTTGTTTTAAAGATGAGCTATTGGAATTGCCACATTAGGAGGCAGAAAAACATCCAAAAATGAAAAAACGTTTTCATCTTGATATCACTGGATTGACCTGAAAACATGTGACCAAATGTCAATGTCAAACCTATCTCTGACAGACTGTAACTTCAGCTGTCAACGGTCATGCAAGACAAGAGACAATTGGTCTCATGAAATTCATGACAAACTTGCTATGAGCTATGAGCTGTGAGAATTTTGAAAAGGAAACTTAAAGTGGAGACCAAAGCAAGAAGGAACAATAAACAAACATTCGAAACTCAAGGCATTGAAGACTTCTTGGCAATCGAAATGGATTTGTTTGTCGAGTGAAAGAATATTTTTGTCCTTTTGCCAAAAACTATTCAATGCCTTGAGTTTTTAATGTTTGTGTTATTGTTCCTTCTTGCTTTGGTCTCCAATGTTTCGGGAGTAAAAAAGCTCTTGACTTTCATAATAAAAAATATTGGGCCGTATTTAAAACAACAATGTTGATGATGGCAGCTCAAAGACGACACGTCGGTTCGAAAATCAGATGACAGCATTTTTTTCAGACAAAAAATTGCGCAATTTTGCTCGAATTCCAACCACCCTGTACGGACTACAGGGCAGTCACCCTCTCCTATCATGACAGGAGAACGTAAAATCCATTGGTTTCCGTCGTTCTTGTGCGGCGTACTCAGATAAAAATGTAGATTTCCACGAAGGCGTGTCACGCGAAGAGAGGCAGACAGAAAAAAAATGACGCGAACTGCCTGACTAGTGCTGACTGCTGAAAGTATTATTTTTCGTCTACAAGTAAGACTCCATACATCATAGTCCAGTCAAATAGGGGTTTCACCGTGTTTCACCTCGGAATTAGACATAATAAGCTGATGGAAACTCGAATACAAAATTAATTTTTTTGCGATCATCTGTAGGTTTCTGTAGGTCCAACGATATTAACACTTATTATATTAATTATAGAGCATTCAATTTGCAACAAATTTCGTTCTATATATTTTTTCATGCGCTCAACCGGAGGCTCAACCGCTCTTGAGATAGAGAGTGGTACATTGAACATGGTTCTCGAGATTTTTTTCTGGACAGTAAAGAAATTTCAAAGTGTGATTAGTGATTATGCAAGTGGTCGTTCACTCGTGAGATTTCTATAGCAACAGGGACGAGTGCTAATCTAGTTGAAATTATTAAAAAAAAAAAAATATCCACCGCAAATGTAATTCGCCGTGATTATTTTTTCAACTATTTCGCAAAATGCCCGGCCAAAAAGAACATTTTTCAGCTCGGTTTTCATTCTGAAAGACTTGTTCGTCTACCAACAACACAAGCTATAGGCCCCTTTTGCTGTAATTTGCTACTAACAAATTATCAGTATGATACCAAATGATTGGCTAGAATTACGCATTGATATACTTGGAAACTACGAAAACGTCATATTTTGACATGCGAAAAAAATAATCACCCGAATATCAGACCGTACTGACGGGGTACTATATAGCAAAATACAATTATCAGAACAAATCAATTTTATTTGAGTCTCTTATGATGGTGTTTCCCCCAAATATATTATCGCATCTGTGGTTTGATTTGATTCATCTTGAATATGTTAAGATGTCCATTAGATTGAAAACAATCCATCCCTACCCTGTATTATTTTTCCAATTCTCAGTTAGTTTAGGGCTTCACGAGACCAAGACCAAGAATTGATAAATCTTCCCAAGAACAAGACTTGACTTCCGAGACCAAGACTCTCTCCCAAGAGTCTTGGTCTCGAAAGAATAATAATGAACTTGAATCTACTTGAATATTAAGAAGAATCTGTTGGAAAATGCAATGGCATTTTATTTCAGTGATTCATTTGTCATATGGTAGGTTTTCAATTTTTGTTCACTCTAAATCCGAAATACATTTTTCAAACTCAGTATTGCAGTTTCAAAGTTTACAACAAATAAGTGTATGTTGTAAGGTCACAGTGGTCCAGACCTCCTCCTATTGAAGATTGAAACAAATTTAATACAAAAGATATTTGGTTTGAATTTGACATTTTTTTAAATATTTTGATAATGCGTTATTGTCAGTTCCGACCCTTTCAAATCTTTTTTTCTAGCCTGTCGGGCGTCAGCCTGTTTGCTGTTTGGGTCTCATTTAAAGTTTATTTAAGGTTTCTTAAGAATAATATTCTTATGATAAAAGGAGAAATTTATTTCGCTTACTTAATATGCACGAATTGACAATTTTAAAGACTGATAAATACTTAATACCTACCTATTATATGCATATATGAACTGTTGGATATTTGAATTGAATAATTCAAATTTCTAGGCGCATTCTGATCGAAGACCAAGACCAAACCTGAGCCAGTCTCGACTGATCAGTTTTGGCCTTGGTATCGCGAAGTCCTGTTCTCAGTAGACCCTCTACCAAATTTGCAATCGTAGATCTCACGGCTCAAGCGAGTTTAAATACCACTCGCTTGTGTTTGTTCGCAACAATTACCTTCTCAGCAAAGACAAGCTTCTTCAGACGAAATTCGGTCCCGGATTATTATCGAACATTAATCAACATAAGGAAAGCTCTACACGAATGCTCGTAGACACGCTCCGAACACCAGCTCACTGGAAGTTATTAACAAAGTTATGGGAAGTCAAGCTCGTCATTCAAATCCAAATTATTGACTGAAGTTCCACATTCGTGTGGGGGCAACAAAAACAGTTTCCAACGCTTTGTAAATTATAACAGTCGCCGAAGTTTGGTATATAGAGGAACTTGTCAGGTGCTCAATTCTCCATATTGGCAAATTGATTTTTGTTGGATGTCAATATTTGGGGAGGCCATTCTTGGGCCCATTCTAAGAAGAAAGTTTCATATGAACGTATGACCTAAACTAAAGTTCTCAAAAATCAACAGTTTCATTAATATCTGTAATACCACTTCAGATATTTTAATGAAATTTGGCATACATGTACTCTGTTTCAAGAGGCATCAGTTAGTGTACCACATTTTTTTTGGTTGCCACCAGTGGCGTTCGTATGGGATTTCACACACCTATTTTGGCAGACATTGATGGTACGCCACTGATTAATCTCAAAATTGAAATCATTTTTGAAATTCCCAATCATTTCTAAGCGAATTTGATCACCACAATTCTTTCAATCTGAAGCACGGTTCTCGCTCAAAAAAGTTGAAAGCTTTTCACTACATGATTATCGCAATATCGTTAATATGACAATATGCACAAATAGATTTTCTTTTTTAGATCAAATTTCAGAAATACAATTCATAGTTTATGAACTTCATATTCGTATTTGGTATTTTGGAATTATAGCTTTCCATTGTAGTAGGCTATAATAATTTTTGAGAACTTTACCATGCACCCTGTATCTGAAAAGTTTGGACGTTTAGGTCATACGTTAATATGAAACTTTCTTCTTAGAATAGGCTCAAGAATCGACTGCTTTACCACTAACCAAACCAATTTTTTTTACGCCTCAAACACGTGTTTCGCTAATTATATTAGCATCTTCAGGAGAAGATTAAAAATAAATATTCCATTTTATTGTGCTACTTATATACTAGGTATATAACCATCCAACCGTGAACGACACTAGCAAGTTTATGTTTGTCATGGTTGAGTTCACATGTTCACCTTAATCTTATCATCTATCAAATTCTCAGATGTTCTTATGATCAAAAATGGCGACAACATCTTAGAACTTGATGTTTTTAGAAAATAAACTAACACACTTAGATACCTAACTAAAGACTTCAATCGCTGTTCTCAACACTAAATGGTAAGATTGAATTGTCTAGTACATAGACTAGTTTCATCTCCTCTGAGCAAAGGAAGATTCGATGTTGAAAGAAGTGTTGTTTATAAAGATGCGGGCGTTAATGGTTACGATATCGAAATAGTAGATGAATTAATACGTAGACATAAATTGAAGCTAACACTTCGGATTTCTACGACTTTTCAAGCGGCTGAATACAAGTCGAGAAGAATCCCAATCCCGTTCAATTCCAAGTACACGAAGGGATTTCATAAGATTTTCAACGACTTAGCTTCAAAAACCGTTCATCAGTCTGGGTCAAAATTAGGCAATTTATTAGGTAATTCAACAGATATGGTGGAGACACTTGTGAAGTCGGGGATATACGAAATCAGTTGTCATGCTTGTGAAAAAACATAAATCGTGTGTAGCCGAACACATGTAGAACAGTGTAGTGTATAACACTTTCTAATGTTATGTTTCGAAAGTGAGAAATCACTATTATTTTTTTGGTGATTGGGGACCACACACCGAGTCTGTAACTTGAATCTCGATATTCCAAATTGCATGCCTATCTGTTTCCATAATAACAGTAGCTATAATAGCCATTATATGATTGAACTATTGAAAGAAGGATTGATCTGCTCTGCATAACAGTAATATATATACAGGGTGTTGATTAAAACGCCGCTAGCTGTAACTCCAACATTTATATTCGAGTTCAAAAATGAATGAACTCAAATTCTATGATTTGATTTAATCAATTCAATGCCGGTAAACATAGTTGAATCCAACGAATTGAAAAATATTCATTCCATTATTTTTCATGCTCAGGTTCGTAGTGATTTTTACATTCTATTGACAATTCCTTTTCATTAGTTAGATTAGTTCAGAAAAAATATTTCGTTTGCCTCATTTCCATATAGCTTTTGTTGAGCCCCTACGAGTCTGCTCCCCATCAATTTGCTGAAAATCGAGTTGTGAATTTATCAATTTCATTCAGAAATAACAAGCCTTGTTCGTTTCCAGGTTGCAGGGTCCATCATTGGTAAGGGAGGATCCAATATCACGAAGCTGAGGAGTCAGGTCAGTATTTGAACTCAACACACAAATGTTTTCATTGTCAAAGAAATTCAGAGAAAAATAGTCTGGTGATTCATTCTCATTGTATTGGAGTTGCTCCAGAAAAAATAATTCAATCTCTATGTTGGACGATCGGGTTTAACAATAAATATTTGAAGTTCATGCAATTGCTAACTTTGAATTTTGATTTCCAGAGAAGTGCTTGAATTATTTTTCTGATTCGAATGAAGCTTCTGCTACCTAGATATTTCCAGTATTACTGAAATATCAGTGGAACTTGAAATTCCGCTTATTTTTTTTATATTCTGAAGTAACATCCAAATGATGAAAATGAATCAGTGGCGTGCAAAAAGTTTTCATTGTTAGAATTATCATGAGATGTTTCGGTTTTACGAATCTAAATCCTTCATCATTGTTATATGCCTTGGACCATGATGCTGCCATGAATCTCCATAACATTCAACATTCATAGCACAGCATATTTCAGTATACTAGAATTTTATCTCATTTTCCTGGCCCTAAACACTACGTAAAACATTCTCCCTACTCGGCCAGTAAGAGTGACCTGGTATATTTCATTCAATAATTCCATGCCCTAAGGATATTTTTCTCACTTTTTCATAAATTACTGAATGACTTCAATTATTTGGTGAGGAAGGAATTCATTTGTAGGTAGTGCTGAATGTTTGGTGTTGATTATATGATTTGTTTTTTCATCAATCATTTCAACTCTATAAAGTACTTTACAATCTGCTAAATGCTATAAATTGAAAAAACTGTAAGGTTCAGATCTGTCCAAGGTTTGTGAGTACAATTATTGTCTTGAATTTTGACTATATACATTTGAATACATATTTGTTTTTTCATATTTTGACTATAGATTTTTACCATAACTCATGAATTTCAGGCGAATAATAACGTACCTCAACAATGTTAGAATATTTGGGTGTTCCTTTATACGAATAAAATAGAAAAAAACGTATACCACTCGGAAGGTGCCATTCTTTTCAGTCGATATTTTGATACCTAATATTTTCTCTTAAATGATAATAATTATCCGAATTTAGGAAGAACTATTCTCAGGTCTTGGTTTGCTACGTGCTATTGTAAAGTACTTTTCTTTGTGGTCTTATTAATTCATTCAGTATAGTAGTTTGAATTTCGATTAAGATTTCACATGAAAAATTTCAATTCTGCTTCTTGTGACGAATTTTTGTAATATAACATTTTATTAGTACTAATCTTTGAGCCCCTTTCTCTCAACAGGCCCTCTAGGTGTATAAGAACCAACTGCGATAAATTGCCCGAGTCGATTTTATTGCAGCCAAAAAATCAGTGCTTCTCGGAATGACTTTGACAAAACAATCCAAAATTCACACATAAACCGATCAACGATCCCTATTACATAGTTGCAAAGATTTTGTCCGATACCTTGCCAACCCTTGCTCAATTTTTGTTTTCTCAATTCGCTCGTTCATTTTTATTTTTTTTATGACGTTTATGTGTGAATCTCGGCCATTCCCTGTCCAAGCACTCGCAGTGATCAGCCGACAAATTGTCTAACTAAAAATGTCTTCTGCCCCCCGGGTCGTGCCTCACCAACTGTGCCACCAATGCCCGCCATTTTGTTGCCACTCGCCAACTGCCAAACAACTGCCAACACCATCAGTACAAAGCCTCCATTACAGTCCCTGATTGTCCGGGCCCTGAACGGTAAACATTTTATAAGATACAAAATCCTTTTTTTTTTTTTAGTTGTGCTCGTATCCCGGCCCTGGTTGCACTGCCCCACGGCTACACACACCACTGGTGCCATTTTTCACATCCCGTATATCCCAGACTTTCAACCCTCATGTTAGATGTTTCACCATCCGATTAGTTTTATACAGGTTGTCACGCCATGTCATGAAGAAGGTATCGCTTTGACTTGAGCTGGGTTTATTGCCGGACGATTTTGACTGGTTATACTACACCTTTTCCAGATGTATTTCAGAAAGCGTCAATTCAATTTCATAAAGAGTCAATTGTATTTCCGAATAATCACTTGTATTCTAGAATAGTCAATTTAATATCAGAAAGCGTCAATGGGGGAGACCACTGAATTTTTGAAATGACATTATCGTGAACTCTATACTGAAAAACTACCAGCGAATTAATTTTGAATTTTGTCATTGATGCTAAGACGATGAAAATAATAAATTAGAATATGTCCATTTCAAAACACACAAGTCCTGCGCCATTTGAAATTATGTCAATTCATTGGTGCAACGTCTTCAAATCAAATCAAAATATACTTCAAAATATATACTTTATTGCCTGAAGAATATAAATTCTCATTGACAAAGCGTATTCCCAACACGCCTATTGTCCTTGAACTGACCAATTACACTGCAACACCGCAGAATGACGAGGTATCAGAGAGATATAGCTACAGTTCGGGACTAATACGTCACGACTCCACCATCATATTTCGCTGTTTGAAATATCGAATGAAATATGCTGATTTCGAAACGATATAGATTCGATTCCCTTCAACTTTAACTCATAATATTGATAGTACATCAAACGTAAATCATGATTCGTCGATTGAAAGGGGTTTGCACGGATTTCTTCTCTCAGTGGTCTTCCCCATTGTATTTCAGGAAATATCATTTGAATTTCAGAAAGCGTCATTTTCATTTCAGAATCATCAAGACTGATTAGTAAAAGTGCATTTAATGCAAGAATGTATAGGTTGTTCACTGTTCAGAGCTCCCATGAGCTTTGTGAATTGATATTTTCAAATTAATCATCCCCTATTCTTTTTTTAGGTATACTCTTTGATGAACAGATTACAAACATTCATCTAGGAGAATCTAAGAATGTTAAAACGTTATTAGTTGAACCATGTTGAACGAACTCAACCAGTTATGATTTTTTTCAAATCGCAAAAACCTTCACAAATACCCATAGTCTTCAAAATATTGGATGTTGAAGCTTATATGATTTTTCAGATTATTTTCGAAGCCATACATTGCGCGTCCAGGAGGTGACAATTCCTATCATGTTAGCAATATTTCTTTCCTAAAGAACGATTTCTGAAATTCAATGGGCCTGTTTCAGCCAAAAATCGTATTTCATCATTTAGAATTACTAACCCTGACTAGTTGACTGTCGCAAACCATTTTTTCTTCAGAGCTCTGTAACTTTTTTAAATAACTATTGAAATTCACGAAATTTCATAACATGAAAAACGCTGACGTAATCATCCGAGAACACTTCTAAGATTCTACTTACTTATCAATTCTCTATTTCTGATAGAAATTTCGATTAGAATATGGAATTAATTTTCTGAGAACACAACACACAACTGAAGAATCCGATTATGAGGATTATCTTTGGAAGGATTCGACGATGAAGGTGACTGCCAACTCAACGTCAGGAGGTTAGGTTGACAATTTAGTTGTTTTTCTTTTTTTGTATCTCTTCGGGGAACTCAGGCATGACACTGTTGCCATGCTATGCCATGACACTTTCTGAAATTCAATTATTGACTACTCTGGAATACAATTGATGCTATATCAAAAACAACTGGATAAGGTGTAGTTATGAAATGTGTGATGTTATCATTGGTCAGTCTGAATTGGTTAGCTACGCATTGACTAATAACATCACACGTTTCATCGCTAGCATCTCCAAAGCAAAAATCGTCCAGTAATAAACCCAGCTCCATTCCATGACTGGAAAGATCGAATGAAGATGTGTCCTATGATTGGTTTCGTTTCCGAGATACAAGTGTTGAAATTGAGTGCGCGTGTAACTTTTTTAATTCTGTTTTATTCCCTGAAAACATTCAAATATTATATACACGACATGAGCGAAACTTACTTGTAGCCACTGCAAATGTTTGCTACACATATCGCATCACCATTTGATCGATCATAATGAGAAAGACAAAGACAAATTTAATTCGTCCTAAAAGTTCCTAGTGATAGAGAAGTTGAATTTTTTTTCCAATTGGTGACAATCTTTTCAAAAAGTCATATTGAAAAAAAAACAGTTAATTCAAATTGATTATTAAAGCTACTTTTTGGAATATGTATGTATGATTGTTTATCGATTGTTGCAAAGAAAGTGTAATCATTAGCCTTTCAATTGATTTTTGTTTGACCTTTGAATCGTGCAATATACAGTGAGGACCAAAAAAGTCCATCGCCCCTCCCTCGGTAACTTCTTTATTTTACATATCCCAAAAAAAATTGAAAGCATAGATTGTAGGGTTTCATTCAATTTCTTTGATGTCTCAAGTTTCATCTATACAGAGTGTCTCAAAAAAGCGTTGAATTCTGAACTAGTTCGATGAACGGTTTTATATTATTATCACGAAAATAATTAGTTTTGGAATTATTATTTCGACTGTTTTGCACCAGTTCAAAGAAAAAAACCACAACAATAGGAACACATAATATATTCCACATTCCTATTCTACCTTTTTGAATGTTTTCCAACTGTTTTTGTAACATGTAAAGTAAAGCAGTTACAGCGAACTTTCAGACCCCAGTGTATTTATCCACAGTCCATGCAATTCGTATGATGGTGGAATATTCAAAATAACGGAACATTATCAAGTTTTATGCAATTTCATAATCAATCATTGAGAACCATATTTTTCATTAAATACCTGTTGAATTTCATTAGCAGTTGCTTGTGCGTTACTTATTGATTGTGTGCAATATCCATATCACCGAATCATCTCTATCTTCCTCCAATACAGGGGCGTCCGCAGAAATAATCTCAGGAGGGGGGGGGGGGGAATCACAAAAATAATGTACAATATTCATTACATATCAAAAGAACAGTTTTTGCACGACCTATAAGCGATTTTACACCGACAAAAGCGGGAATACATGGTATACAGAGTAGGTATTCTCTAGGCTAAAACATTTTCCGGGATTTTTCTGGCAATGAATCTACCACTATGTTTGCAGCAGCTTCTTCAATAGTTTATTCACACATTTCTGCAATATTTATTGAAAAAATAAGAAAGCAGTTCAGAAAATATGCTAGCACACTTTTTCGATGTTCACAAAAAGCTATATGGCCACTCTTCTTTATCGGTAGTGATGATAATCAAACTTGATCTTTAAATTAAAATCGTCGAGGCGTGCAAAAAATAGTATATAAACCTCGGAAGTCAGTTATTTTTTCCCTCAGTGCATTGTAGCACCCTCTGGCTACAAAACTTGCACTTTACTCCCTCGATATATAATCTACTATTATTCTACATAAAACATTGAATAAAAAAAATAAAATTAATTGAATTGACATCACATAAGTATTCTGTTTACAGCCAAAATAACAATAAAAAGTTGCACGTGATAATAATCATATTCTTGTTCGAACAAAAATGGCATTCTTATAGAGTCTTGAGCAAATTTATCAATTACTTCATTGATAAAATTAACTCTATATCTATTCATTAGATGTCGATGAATACTAATTAAACAAAGTCTAAGAAAGTCACTATAATAAGCGCTAATCAGAATAGGAATTGAATAATGCAAATGTATCTTGTTCAGAAAGTATCTGAGTAAGGACCCTTTTGGACGCCCCTGCTCCAATCTCATCGAATTCGTTAATGGGTGCGATTTTAATTAACATCATCAATATTTTCTTCTACCCTTACTTGCGAAGTAGTGCAACCAGTGAAGCCGGAAGTGTCCGCTAGGTGTCCAGTCACAGGTTCCCTTGATGACAGCGTCACATCTCGATGTCCTTGAAAACTGCCCAATTTCCATAACTGAAATAAAAGACATTTCGGTGATGTGTTTATTCATAATAATAAAAATAAAGTTCTATAATTTGTCACAGATTATTACCGTTTTATCTTTCATATCAGTTATGGACGGAACATTGACGAACCTGTGTTTCTACGAAATTAACGTGTTTACTAATGATTTCCTTGCAGGTATTCTGGAAAACCTAAAAATAATCATACCGATGATGAAAAATCCTATCATTATATCTTCATTCAAATGAAATATTATGATCGTAGCGGCAGTGAACCCCTAGCAGAATGTTCGCAATTCGCAAATTGTTATGAATGTCAACAATGTATCTTTCGGGAACTTGGAGATAAACTATGCCGAACTGCTTGCATCATTTCTCATCAGAGTGTGTTTATCTTGTCCTTTCCATTCCTTGCGAAATTCACACTGTGATGCATTGTTGCCAGCTATATTTCCTCCACAAAAACTAAAACTTATCAATCGACATTAGCCAGCGAGGTGTTAGATTGCCTGTTGATTGGAAAACAAATTGGCAAAAATCGACCTTTATTTCGAACTAAAATATTTTGAATGTTTTCCTCCATACTACTCATACTAGGACAATGAGAAAAAAATTATTAAAACACACACTTTCTGCGCCATTTGAAATTGTATCAATTCATTGGTGTGAGTGGTGTGACGTATTAGTCCCCAAAACGCAAGGGCGTCGCAAGGGGGGACCATAAAAACCGAAGAGGAAAGTCAAGTGAGAAAAGTTTTATGAGAAAAATTCAAAAGCGGAAAAAAATCAATATAGAAAATCAATTGAAAACTAATCTTCTAGGGTTCTTTGTGAATTCGTTGGTCACTTTGTTGACGAAATAGTTCAAGTTTTTGAAGATATGTTGCCTATGTACTCTCATCATTGCGAGGCCATTGAGTCGAGCTTCAGACATGGTGCTCCTCAAGTCCGTCAGGACGAGGGGTATTGCTGTACTGGAACACAATTGAGTTAATAATGAAAGACAGAATTATGAGAAGATATTCAGAACAGAGTGGTATTTCGTTAGACTGTTTCACGTTCACGAAGCATAAAAAGCATTGAATAGAAATGAGTGATTCATTCTGACAAGTACAGCGATAATTATTTTATGCCAAACTGACAGAATTTGCTTCGCTATCCATGGTTACATCGTTGAAAACATCAACGCTGAAAGACCAATCAGAATTGAAAGACAGTTAATGTTTTCGCGACAAGCTCATGTTGTCTTTGGCTGGTGATAGATCAGATTATGTGATGAATGAAATAGTCCTTGACCAGACCAATCACTCTGCAACACTGCAGAATCGCAAAATATCAGAAAGTTACAGTTCGGGACTCGGACTAATACGTCACAGCTCCAGCTTCATATCTGGCTATCGCATGAAATATGCTGATTTCAAAACGCTATAGATTCGATTCCATTCAACTTTTACTCATAATATTGATTGTACATTAAATGTAAATCATAATTCATCGATTGAAAGAGGTTTGGAAGGATTTCATCCCTCAGTGGTCTTCCCCAATCGATGTTACACACATATAGGTGATCCACTGGAAGAAATCATAATAAGAAAATATTATATGGATGTGGCATTGGCAAAAATGTGTCAGAAGGATGATTGAAACTAGCAAACTCCAAATCTGAAATGAGAATGTATTTAGAGAAGCAGGAAGGTAAAACTCAATTTGGTTCTTGGTCATGGATGTTCTGCTTTCCACAATAATTTTGTAGTCTTTCCAAAAGTTAATTGGAGCAGCTCCAGCAAAAGCATACGCCACGCGTTCGAACTGACTGTTCCAAGTTTAAACAGTCGAGTAGTTCCCTATCTCTGGTTAGTTACAATTATAAAGAAAAAATATCCATATTTAGAGTCAGTGAACAAACATTATTTATTATACCTTGCCTACTAGGTTTCCTTTTAGAACGACAATACTTCAACATTAAATGTTGTGCAAAAAGTTAGTTCAAGGCACTGATCTTATCCAGAGAAGAGCTATTCACCAGGTTGGTGATGCTACACTTACAGGTTCCTTGACACGTTCGCAACACCGTCAGAAAATTATATACCGTCCATTTTTCCACAGATATTTCCATGGAAAATATTCGACAGGAATCTAGATTATAGTTTCCCCCTCAACAATCAGCCTTGAGATTTTTGTATCTTCGTTGATAGTCTCGCAATTCTTTGGAGTAACCTTAAAATGTTCAAAAAAATCATTGTATTCTTGATGGTTCCACGAACATAATATTAGTTATTTTTTGTATTCAAGGAAAGCGCTTGTGTAGTACATTATTACAATGAACGATTGTATGTACAGGGTGGGCCGAATCTGAGATATCGCGCCAAAGCATAGAAAACTGGACACACTGTATAATGCTGTGTGGTTCGATGACCCCCTAGGTAACGGGATAGGGACTTTCAGGACTCCAATTATTCTCACCTAAGAGTAATTCACCTCGAATCATCCATCTTGAATGGTGATCGGAGCTTTTCAATTCAATTTCGCCAGGTGTGTGTATAGCGTAGAATAATTATGTTTGCGCTTGGACTAATGATACGTCTGAAACCTGTTCAATTAGCCTGAACATCTCTTTCGTGAATTCGGTGAAAATTTAGAGTAGACGATCCACATCATAGCCTAATTTGAGTGCTCACTTGATTATTTGATAGGAACATTCCAAATTGATATAGATTGTGACGTCCTGACGTGAAAGGTACTAGATTTCAATTTTGTGTTACAAATGGGACCTGTAAGATAGGCCTAAATAGGGCCTATCAGAACTATTAACTGCTCCTGAATTGCTTGTTATAGATAGCTGTTTATACTGGCTGTTGATTTATTGAGTGCCGATAATACAAGGTGTGAATCCTCGGGTGATTTTATTAAGAAAAGTTCATATCAACATATTATGTCTTGAAGCTCTTAGCTTTTGAGCTAAAGGTTGTCAAATTTGAGGACAAAATTGAGTTTTTTACATAATTTTTATAACTTGGATATTCTTATGAAATTTTGTATAAACACGTTTTCATCATTATGGAACATTTTTTGACATAGAAAATGGTACGTCTCTGATTTTTTCAAAAACCAAAATTCTTCTTGTAATCCCAATTTTTTCGGAGGCCTCATATTGAATGTTTTGATTGAAAAACTGTTTGCCTCTGATTTTATCACCCTTCAGCTCAAAATCTAAGAGGTTTAGGACATATTTAAGTTGATTTAAACTTCTCTCTTTGGAATCACCCAAATATTCACATGTAACACGTTGCAAAATCAGCTTTTTGGCATTAAACACCAGAGCATTAGAGCAATGCAGTGTCAAATTCGTGTTTTCAATAAATAGGGGTATTGCCTCATAGTTTCCCGTATATTTAGGATATTGACATTCCCCGTATATGAAATCGAAACTGGTACTGGTATATAATATATATATAAGAAACATTACTTTGGTTAAAACACACTGGGAAATGAAAAATTCAGTAATACCCCTACTGATTCATTCAAAATATCGTGCGTCTATGTCGAGAGAATCCACCTCTGCACAGTACCTCTGAAATTATTCCAGCAATAATTTCTGCCTATGTCTCGACATTAAGCGAAACTTATGCGTGAGCCCTAAATCCGAAAATGAGAATTTATCACGAAAGTTGTTTCACACAGATGGGTTATGGTCCGTGAAATTTGGCTAACAACTCTGTTACGAAGTCGTTCGATGTTGCGCTCATATAATAAAATGTAGGTTCAGAAAGAGTTTTCCCCTTCCCCCCCCCCCCCCCCCAACCCCCCTATTTCCCCCCAGACTGCAATGTCACCGCAATTGGCTGTCTACTCTTCCATACGACACCCCCCAGCAGCCAAATAGCCCAGAACTTTTCCGACTAAAATCCGGTTCTTCCTCCGATATTCACCCTCACCCCCTTGTCTCCCGTCGCTATCGAGGCTATCCGTCCCTAAAAAATGAAGTCGACCTTTTTTCCGGTTTAAATGGTCGGTGCGATGAAGTACGATGATAAGGATATGACACGGTGGAGTTTGGAAGAGTTTGTCGAGATGAATTTTGACTCTCATTGCTCTCAAAGCTGGGCTTATTTATTCACAACAACCACAGTTCAGGGCTTCAGCCTAAATACTTTTTTCTTTTATACTCGGAGACAAAGCTTGGAGATGATTTGAAAATGAAAAAAAATTAACTTCCAGTATTCTTTTTTGTCAATATTTTATTTATCGTTGGTGACTATTTCCTGCTTCAGCTGTTATATCTTCATCATTGTGGATTCGGTTACTTGACCATTTGAATCAGAAATTGGCGATTTTTATCGATGACCTTCGACCTGTTCACCTTATTCTCGAGCTAACTTTTTTTGTTTACAGGCTATTAACGTTGTCTTCCGACATGGATTCTGTCTGCAACATCATCAGCGATGTCGTGCCAAATTTGGAAGAGGTGAGTCAAGGATTACTTTTAAGAAGGGAATGGTGCATTTTTTCCTCTAGGACTATCAATTCACCGTTCGGATTGATTCAGTTGATTAGGACCAAAGTCATTAGGATTTTTTGTGAAACTGATATGATTCCTTTTTGTTTCTCAGATAAGTTGAATCGTCATTTTATTTATGAACCTAATATTTGTAAGTTTTCCTAGCAGATAATGAAAATATATAACTAATTATGCACTTCACTCCACATTACTCTACTTCACTCTACTTCACATTACAATGTTCACTTCCTAACAGCAGTGGCAGCTCCTCAGAGGAGGCAACGGAAGTTGAGCCTCCTCAAGACTTTCGATACATCGAATAGTTCTATATACTTGCATAAAATATCATACCGAAATAGCTAACTTACGTTCGTTTTATCGGTTTTATTTCCTGTTATCAAGTTGAATTTGAGAGTTTGGCAGCACTGCTTTCACTTGAAAGTATTCAGAATATAATACAAATTTGCGAATTGGCAACATTCAACGGAAAGCATCCTCTGACCAATGGAATTTGCTGAATCGCGATTCGCAGAAAGCGAGAGGATTATGAAAGTATGGCAATAGACAGTTGAAAATCGCAATATAGGGTCTGTTCGTTTGTATTGCTAAACTTGCTAAAGTTGATTTTGTTACTATAGTTGTCTCTGTTCATGGCATGATGTAAACAGAGAGAGTCATAGAAATAAAGCAAGTTTAGCAGGTAGAGCCCTTTGGGCCGCTGCGGATTGCATGCCATCAATTATTAGCGCTTCAGTTTGTTCGAACTTCCGTATATTACAAGGGCACAGGCAGTATACAGGATATTTCCTAATTAAACGTCAATATTTGAGAAGCCGATTCTTTTACCCATTTCGAAAAGAAAATGTCATATGAACGTATGACTGAGATAAAGGGTGATAAAGTTCTCAAAAATGATTATTAATATCTGTAATACCACTTGATTCGATCTCTTGAATTGTTTCAGTCCGAATCACGGTTTTCACCTAAAAAATAAAATACATTTTTCTGCATTGTGATATTGTTAACGAAATTGTTATGATCATGCAGTGAAAAGGTTTTCATTTTTTTGGGCGAAAACCGTGCATCAGATTGAAAAAATTGTAGAGATGAAATTTTCTTAGAAATGATCGAGAATGTCTGGAATGATTAATCAGTAGCGTACCATCAATGTCTGCCAAAATATGTATGTGAAATTCCATACGAACGCCAGTGGTGGCAAAAAAGTGGTACACTAAGTGATGCCTCTTGATACATAGTACATGTCTGTCAAATCAGAATATCTAGACTTGTTTTTTGATAACTTCACCACCCTGTATCTCAAGAGTTAAGACGTTTAGGTCATATGCTCATATTAAATTTTTTTCTTAAAATGGTCCCAAGAATCGCCTCCTACAATATTGACATTCAATTAGGAAACACCCTGTATAATATCGCGGAAAACACGAAAATTCTCATAACAAAAAGAAAAGTGCTCTTCCTGCGGCCAGGAACCTGTCTATTGTTCATATTTTGCGGTTAATTATGAAGCTTTTACAAATCATACAGTGTTGAATGGGAGAAAGTCACCTTTCACCATCTCCTGGTCTATAAGGCTGTCACTGGGGCTGAGTATTGAGAAAAATGCGTCCCATGAAGATCTATGTCTGTACCAAAAATTAAATAAGTTCATGGATTTCGAAAATAACTGAAATGCAAGGGTGCCGAGAGACGATGGAACAAAGTCAATTTTCAAATTGTTGGGTATCATTCGATATCAGCCTGTATTCTGTAGCAATTGGTTGATGTGATCTTGGTACACTCTTTTACTGATGATACTGTTGATGAAAATTGTATTAGAATAACATGCAATCGTAATTCGAATACAAACTGTAGACAAAGTCGATAAAGATACATTGAAGATGGATCGTGCTCGAAGGTTTATTCTGAAACAGACGATTGCAGGATGGCAGTCTGTGGTGCGTCCGCTTTCAAATTGTCGGAACGTGTTATACGGAAATTAAAATGTGTCTCGAGAGCTTTCCCCTGACGCAATCGAATTCTTCGATCAAACAAAATATATGAGAACGGGAAATTCGCGTTTATTTGTTGCGACGTATGTCCTGCAGGGTTCCGGTAGAATTGGAAACAAACATCTTCAGAGTACTCGTGAAAATGATTCTGGGATAAAAGTGTAATAGACTATGGCACAGCGCCATACGAAATTCAGCCGCACTCGAAATAGATGAACATGCTTGGGATTTTGGCCCAGAACTCTCATAGCTTGTCTACTGAAAACATGAAGTGAGCTGAAAGAATGTTTCACGTGATCCTAAACATCACTAGGCAGGACTGAGTGAGGTATCAATATGATTGCCTACCATGCGAAGGCTGAATTTGTTTGCACTGAATGAATATCAACTCTCTTCAGCTAAGAGCATGATTCACATACAATTTCATTCAAAACACATTAACCCAACAATTATTAACGCACCATCAAAGAGTATATCCAAAAGTTTCAGTTTTATTTTCGTTAAATACTACTTATTTGTTTTGAATGACAGGTTATCGCCTTCTGAATATTGCTGTATGAACTGTATTCACATAAAAACCTCTTTTTCATGAATACCGAGTGTGGCAATCATATCCTGTTATTTCCTGAAATTTAGTAAACTGTAGAGGGTTACAGTTACATTTATCAAATTAGAATTTGAATTACACTTTAGTCGTATTCTTTCAACATTTTTTTGGATTTACTCCATCATATTTTAATATTAGTTCAATTTTTATAGCATAACATCATTTTTATTGACTTCAATTAGTATTATAACCAAGAAACTAGCAGGATATGGTCTGGGGAGGCATTTCTCTGACTGATCGCACGGAACTCGTTATCATAAATGGAAGCCTTACAGCTGAAAGGTACATATTGAAGATTTTAGAGACACATAAAATGTGTAGGGATTGTTGATGATGCTATATCATGCCAGGACTCACTTCGCCGAGTTGTGAGAAATTATCTAGAGGAAATCTGTATCCATACCACAGCATGGCCAGCTCTGAGCCCAGATTTTAATCCCATTTAGTATCTCTGGGACATTCTTTGGGATATATATTACAAAAGGAACTTAACTAGACGTTCGACAAAGACTAATTTAAATTTGGGTAGATCTGGACCAAAATGACATAAGGTCTCTTATTCCAAGCATGGATCGTCTTCGATAATGAAGTTATTCGTACCCGAGGCGGAAATACTTGCTACTGACCCTTCCGTTCAATTTGTGACCAGCGAAAAGCTTTTTTTTTGTTGTTAAATTTGGATATCAATTTTCCAACATTTTACCCTTTAAAATGGTATTTCTAGAGTAATTGGTAGAGAATAAAGTGAATCCATAACAGAAATAAGAAGTGAAAGATAAGGCTAAAGTGTCATTTCAGTTGTAACTTGTAGTGTAACTGTTACACTATACGAGTATTACAGATTTCATGAATAAAGCACGCTAATATCATTGCTACACCCGGTATGCATAAAAATTATGTTATTGGTATGTAATTTTATGAACTACAGAAAAAAAATATTGAAAGCTTGTTACATCGGTTTGGCAAATAGAAATACTCCGTGAGTTTTTCGCTCGTATACATCCTGTGTATATCTTATTTACTCTTATTCAGTAACTCGACACAAAGGTAATTGCGTATTCCTGGAAAATGAATCACCATGGCAACCTCCATCAATCCAGTTAGGTTTCCTCGAAAAGATGACGATCGGCCCCCTTCCCACCTCTAACGGCGTGTGCCAATTTGTGTTTTCCAATTTTCATAGCTCGATTAACTCGGCAGGAGATGAGAAGACGCAGGTTCCTACTATACTAAGGTCGTCTTGACGACAACGACAATAGGTTCTCTGGGAAGAAACTTTGAACTTGTTGGAAACGGTATGAATATAGGTTTGTTGGCGTTCACAAAATAAACAGTCCGAAACCAGGATTGTTTCGTATTCCACAGATCACGTGTTTTCGTTTTATACGAACTAGTTTGGGATAGTTTCGAATTGGTCCAAAGCAGTACGAGCCTCTGGGCAAGAACAGCCCATGACTGTCGTGAATAATTTTGGATGATCATGCGTTTATGCAACAGATTTTTAACCTCTAAGCGTTCTTATGTTGAGAGATAGACTTTTGAAGAAGATGAAGGATTATTGAAAAAAAAAAACGATCAAGAATGGGTATACCTATGAGCTCCAGCTCATCGTCCTATCTTCAAGAACAGATGATAAACTGTTTTGAACATGTTATCTGCTGGAAATTCTCAAGACCAATCTGGAAAATGGTGGTTATCAACGAATCTGTACTCAGATTAAGAATTCACGGATCATTTTTTGTATTATGTATAAGTGTAGAAATATTTTAGTGGGGAAGGTTTATGTTCAGGCCTGAATTTTAGGATCATTTCATGATAACGTATATGCCCTCGGTTCACGTGAGTCAAGACGCCTCATGTTATCGAGGAAGAATATGAGAATAACGGGAAAACGCGTTTTCGTTTATCTGGTTTCAAAAGTATCCCAGCCATGTTTTGGATTTCATTTGATGCGCACCTGAATCTGCGCAGTCTAAGTACCGTTTCAACAATTTGGAACGAGAACACATCTATTATGTACTTGTTCCAAATTGTTGAAACGGTCCTTTGACTGCGCAGAATCAAGTCTGGGATAGTTTTGAAACCAGATAAACGAAAACTGCGTTTATCTTCTTTCTCGAAGTGTCTTGACTCACGTGAATCGAGGGCATATTTAAGTTAGGGTTACGTCGATGTAATCATGAGGTAATCCCAAAATTCAAGACCCGAACATAAACCTTCTCCACTAAAATATTCAAACACTGAAACATATACAAAAAATGATCCTTGATTTCTTAATCTGAGTACAGATTCATTCAAAATCACCATTCTGCAGATTGGTCTTGAGGATTTTCAGCATATAACATGTTCAAAAACGTTTGTTATCATCTGAACTTGAAGATAGGACGGTGAGCTGAAGCTCATATGCCTATTGTTCATAATCTTGATGTATTTTTTCCAATAATTCCATTCTTCATCTTGTTTAAAAGTGTATCCCTCAATATAAGAACGCCTAGAGGTTGGAAATCTGTTGCATAAACGCATGCGCATCCAAAATTATTTACGATAGTCATGTCATGACACGCAGCACGCAGCTCTTTCCCAGTACTGCTTTGGACTGATTCGAAACTAGTTCGTATTGAACGAAAACAGGTGATCTGTGGAATACGAAACAGTTTTAAGAAAACACAAACACTTTTTTGTCACTGCGCATGCTTCTGATAGTTCCTTACTGTTAATTTTGTAAACGCGAAAAAACCTGCGGAATCGACTTGGTGATGAATAGTATAGTGATGCCCACGATATTAGAGTTTGCGAGACGAGGTTGTCAAAAATATGCTGATTTTCCAAGTCCTCAAAATATTCCCTATGCTTTCTGAATTTGGATTCATAAATGTCGATGCGAGTTTCGATATGTTTGCTCAAAATATTCCGGTGATAAATCATATATTATTATTTCAATGTTTGAATTAGTTAAACTTCAACAAGTGAGAGAATTAGAAACGTTCCAAAATGTTGTGCAAACTGGAGTCATGTAAGCTATGTTTCCAAACAAGTCCTGGGAAAATTTCATAATAACTCAATTTATAAATCACATTTTCTATAGATCATGTGAATTTCGCGTTCCAAACAAATATCATTTCCGTAATGGTGACTTCGTTATACTTTTTGTGTTTGGTTCATCCATTCGTGATTATTCTTCTGTCGACCAGCTTGCAATTCTCTTTTTGTTTGCAGAACGGCGCTAGCATCAACGGAAATGAATTGGATTTGCGTATGATGATTCATCAAAGCCAAGCTGGATGCGTTATTGGAAAGGGTGGACAGAAAATCAAGGAAATCAGAGACGTGAGTATATTTTTGTCTTTTTTTCATGAGAAGTTTCGTTTGCGAACAGTGGTACAATTTCACGAGAACTTTGTTTTTCAAATCCCGAGACCAATATGTAGTTGATTACTAATTATTGTCCTGTTGGAAAAATCTGCTGATTTAATTTGTACTCGAAGACGGTCTACCCTGCATTTTCAAATGTAATAACAAAAAAGGCCTTTAAAAAATTACAATTGCCCCCTGTCCAAGATGTTTTTCGAAATATTGCTGTATTCCTTGGGCTTTCTTTATGTTTATGATTCAGGTTCCGCCCATAGCCATGGGCTTTGTCAATTTCAATCGTCAATCGTATTTTGAATGATAAGAAATCCGAAATGGGAATTTCAGTCTTTGTGTGTTTCTTTCCTTCTACCCTAGACGGCGTTGTGTCCATTGTGTCCATTTCGCAGTGGTCTAACGCCTCGTGGGTATCACATGATGCTTAGAGGTGTTTACGTTGGGTCAGGTTCGCACCAGATGGCGGTCTTAAATGCCATCTGGGGACACCCCTGCACTGATGAGAGCGAAAGCTCGAAACCGGTCTGTGGGTAGTCGAGCGTTCCTGAATCATTCAAGTACAATGCAGCATTTAGAAAAAAAACCTCGCAACTGTATTCGTCTATATGGATTGGTGCATATATAATAATGAATAATTATACTCATAATAAAGTACATAGAAAAGTACTTGTGGTAATGACTTTGAGTTTCTCCCTCTTTGTTTGAAATAATGGAGTTACGTACCTCATCCAAATAGTAGCTTACATTCTAGAATATACTCTCTCAATATTAGTACATTTTTGCATTTCCATTCTAAGAAATGTTGATCATGTTTGTTGGGAAACGAGGGAAAAGTCAAAGTAGTTAGGTCTAGATTGTCGTTCAATAATTACATCGGCTGGATTCAAGAGCTTTTGGTGCTGCCTTACAAGTATGTAGTTTTTTCGTGAAGACATTTGACATACACCATGTAGAAAACGAAAACGCTCAGCGATCCTCATACATCCATCCAATTTCCAATTATTAACAATCATGATCGATATCTGAGGACCCCACGTCGTCGTTCTGTTCCCGTAACATAATTCGAAAGGCTCTAGCATAAAAATGGCGTGTCGAAAACCACTCTGAGTCGAATTATGAAAAAGAGCCGATATCGCGAAACCAAATTTATTTTCCCGATGACGCCTCACCCTCTCTGTACAGGGAGGCAAGTTGAAAACAAACAGCACTTGATATTTCTTCAGCTGGTGACACTATGAAAATTTGGCGAAACACGTCAATTTATATATCGAGGTGAACAACTTTCGAGGTATTTGATGGTGTATCATATTCAACCCTGGAGCGAAGCAGGGCACCTACCTCTAAAATTTTAAGTAGCAACCTCCACTTATTTTCTTATTTTCGAAATTCTTATGTGATTCTAAAAGAGTCACATCTATATATTTTAGATTTCTTTTTTTTTTTTTCATTATAATGAGAGTACAGGGAGAATCACCATAAATGTCTCCCCTTCCTAGCTCAGTTATTTTTGGACCGATTTCGAAATTTGATAAATCAACTTAAATGATTTTCGATAAAGTTTTTTTCCGCTAGTTGAAGTTGAAGAAATATTGAGTGCTGCTCGTCTCTGAAATGTCACCCTGTATCTCTCTATCTCTCTCCTCTGTTTTCACCGGTGAGGTAAGTCGTGGAGGCACGCGTCGTGGCACCGCTCAGGGGGGGCGGAAGAGGGCTTGTTGACCCCGAAACGTCGTAGGACGATCTGTCTCTCGTTCCGTGGGTTGACGTCGCGCGATCGATGGAAATCTCATCGGATTTTCCGGATGTGTAGATGTTTCGGTGGAAATATATATATAGAAGACCCATTAGAAATTAGATGGGCAATCTCCGTGAGGTCGTCAAAAGAAGCGGCGTTGGTTCAGTCAATAACGTATTTCAATGTCGGTCAGGTGCCTTGTCAGTTTTCGATTCCTTGATATCACTGAGATTTTGTATCTATTTCTATTTTCATCTATTTATATTTGTAAATTTCGTACAAGTTTATAAAAGGCAAGAAGACCCTACCTAGCAACTAAAGACCGATCGCACTGCTATCTATTATTTCAAAGGTAATGGATATAGCTATCAACATCGAGCTCATGAAATACCTGGAATATTCAGGTATTATCAACGATAGGCAATATGGCTTCCATCATCAGAGATTAACTGATGACCTGCTCGTTTACGTCTCACATATATGGCAGCAATCTATTGAGAAATATACTGAAACCTTAGCCGTAGCACTCGATATCTCCAAGGCATTCGATCGAGTCTGGCACCACGGACTCCTCGCCAAGCTGTCGTCTTATGGCTTGCCCCCCCCCCCCCCAGTTATGTTCTCTGCTAGTTAGCCTTCTCTCAAACAGGTATCTTTATGTAGTGGTCGACGGAGTTTCATCGGAATCTCTTATCGGCAAGGATCAATTCTAGCACCAACACTGTTTCTACTCCATATCAACGATTTGTTGGAAGCAACTTCATGTCCAGTACACAGCTTCACGGATGATAGTATACCCTCCATACCGCCTTCTCTTCCAGGGCTCCAATACCAGCCAGGCAAATCAGAATTGAACGAGAGAGAAATGTTGCCAACATGAATATGGACTTGGCAACAATTCTCGAATGGGGATCCGATAACTTGGTAGATTTCAATGCAAACAAAACACAAGCATGCCTTTTCTCTAGAAAAGTCGTATCTCACTGTGCCCAACATGAGTTTGTCAGGAGTAACCATACCTTTGAAGACATCCATTTCGATGCTTGGTATTACTATCAGCAATAACCTTTCTTGGGAAAATCACGTGAGATCAATTGCTAAAGGTGCATCCCAAAAACTTGGTTTTCTGTTTCGGGCTAGGGACTTTTTCACTTCAAGTCAGCTGCCTATGATCTATAAGTCACAGATCCAACCTGTCCTCGAATACTGTTCCCATATTTGGAGTGCTAAAAAGGGCAATTCGTCTCGTGGGTGATGCCTCGCTCACAAACTGACTCACTTCTCTGGAACACCGTAAAAAATTTGGCGATCTGCCTCTATTTTATAGATATTTTCTTGGACGATGTTCTTCTGGAATATTAACAATTGTTCCTCCCTTGGCAGTCCCCGCGAGATTAACCCGTTGAGTTGAGGCTTGAAGACTCGTTCATCCAACGAACAGCGAGGCTCTGGAACACATTGCCAAGGGAAGTGTTCCCCGAGGCATATAACCTCCAGAAATTTAAGAAGAACACCAATTCCTACCTTATTTCCCTTTTCGTGGAAACCAGAACATAAAAAAAATCAATAACCCTCAATATATTATATTGGATTGACGTGACAATTTTATTTACAGATTTAATGATGATAATCTAATCAATGTATTTATTATTTTGGAAAATGAATGAGAACATTTCAAATTTTCATGATGTATGAGTAAAGCTCAATTATTCATTCTGGAATCAAGATATCTAGACTGTTGAATTATATCATTCGTTGTGTATAGCAACGAGGAGAACTCTAATTCTGACTTGCTACCAATATATGTTGTATATACATATAATGTAGTTAAATAAAGCTCTATACTTCATATAGTAGATTCAGATAGTAGATATAGCAGATTTCGACCGTCATCTGATAACGAAATTAAAGGTATATATTATGTCCCAAAGGAAAGTAAAAACATTGCACCTCAACGAACGGCACCTGTGCCAATCACTATCCTGAGCAAAATTATTGAAAAATTGCACTTTACTGTGCGTGAATTCGCACTCGATTTCGAGATTTGATAACAAGGTGTGAATTATGCCATCCAATACCAATTGAATGGTAGATCTTAAAAACCTACCCGTGCCAGTGCTCAGTCTGAACCAAATCCACTGCACAGCGATTCATTTGCTGCTATCATTCCGTCATGTGATAACGAGTTGAAACAAAAAGCAAATTAAAGGGAAAAATTATCCTTCTGGGAATATCAAATCGTGCCGCTATTCAAGCTGATCTAAGTTAGTGGCAGAGCGTCAATATTTCCGGGAATATTTCGCTCTCGTCGAAAGATAATATCCGATGGACCAGTGTGAAACCCATTTGGTCCTCACACTACAATTATTCTGATACACATGTTGAGTTTTACACTGGTCCATCAGATAATATCTTTGAGGGGGACAAAATATCCTCGGAAGGATCAGTTTGTATCGCGGCACGTTTGGATATTCGCAAAGGCGACATCATCCCCCTTGATTTGCTCCTTGTTTCAACTGGTTATCACATGACGGAAGTATGTTCGGAATAATAGCAGCAAATAAATCGCTTTGCCGTGGATTTCGCTCAGACTGAGGGGTGGCACAGAAAGCTTTTCGAAATCTACCACTCAATTGGTATTGGATGGCATAATCCTTTTCTCCTTATCAAATCGCGAAATCGAGTACAAATTTCCGCACAGGAAAGTGCAATGTTTCAATAATTTTGCCCAAGATAGTGATTGGTATAGGTGCCGTTCGATAAACTACAATGGTTTTACATGCCTTTAGGACATATTGTCATTTCGTTATCAGATGACGGCCAAAATTTGCAGTCGACTCTTGGACTAATATTTCATTATATTATGGACTGTCCAATAAAGTGACAACATGAAATGGAAAATTTTATTTTGATCTCACGAAATATAAAAATTCTCTATGCTTCACATCAGAACAAATGAATCATAAATCCTAAAGAAGAAAAAAAAGAATTCCGATTGTCAAGATGGATGTACGCACGGTACACGTCTGATGACAGCTGACGGGTGACGTTAATTCGTCGGGAATCGAAAGTGAGACTGCCAGGGATATATTCCAGGGGAAAAGGTATATTTCGTTTGTTCCCGGCTACGACTTCCCGTGGGATGTCACGTAATGTAGGGAACGAGGGTTGTTTGGGCTGATACATATATACGTTGTCACAGAACAAGGCGGGACTCTGACAATAT